GGTTTCCCCCCCCCCCCCCCCCCCGCTCCGGCGTCCCCTGAAACTTTGTCTCTCGCTTTCATTTCACCCGTTTTGCATATATGCGTACCACACCACCAGTTGTCTTGGTAGAAGCGCTCGTCGAGACCGCTCTAGAGAGCGGCCTCATCGTCGGCTTCGTGGGCGCTGCGGAGTACCTGGCGGCGCGCTACCTGTCCGACACGAAGTTTTCGGAGGTGGCGAGGCTGGCGCTGTGGACGGCGGCGGTGTTCGTGTCCGGGGCCGCCACGGCGGGGCCAAAGAAGTGGCTCGAGAAGTCGCAGCTTTTCAACATCGACGTGCCCATCGGAAAGGACTGGTGAGTAGGTTGGTCGGCGATGCCTGCCTGCAGTAGAGGTGCCGCATGATGTCCACTTGTTGATGTTGTTGTTGTTGCCGGTTTGTGAGTGCCAACGGCATTCTGATGCGAACAGTCCTCTGAGGTATCCCTTGTTGTGGCGCCGTGCGCTAGTAGCTGGTACTTATTTCGAACGTCGCGAATGGTCTTGTTCCAAGCCGCCAATGAGGTAGGGATTCAGTTGTCCGCTGCCGTCACGTTGCTGGTCGGCTCTTATTTTAGCACATGTTGCTGTTAGGGTCATCCTTGCTTGAACCCGACTCCGCCCCAGAGCAGGAGCATAGGACTTCGTGCTACATTGCCCCGCGTCACCCCGCAGCGCCGTGCTCCTCTGTCGTGGGATGCCGCCCTTGCCCCTGTCCTTGCACCCCAGGTACACGAACCTGCGCAAGCCTCGGTGGAACCCGCCGAACTGGGTGTTCCCCATCATGTGGATACCTCTCAAGATTTTGCAGGTAGGTGCATGGCGCTTGCGCCTGAAGCATGGGGATTCCATGATATTGAATGCACATCCTGTGCGATATCTCCGGTAGGCTCCACCCCGAGTATAACCCTGGAAGCGATGGCTGTTCTGGTTCCAACGGCGGGGGAGCGAGTGAATGTCTAGGTGGTGGTTGGGGATCGTTTGGCTATGTGGGGGGCTTGAATGTCCTCTGTGGGGAATAGTGAAACAGGTACGTTATGGGGACTGGTGCTGGAACGTACTGGATACGGCACTGGAACGTTTTTGCTGATGTATTTGTCTTTGTTAACTGCGGGTGGAACAGGTAGTACTTTTGCTTGTCAAGGCCAAGGTCTATCGCCGTGCCCTTGCCACCGTTGAGCGCTGCTGTGGCATGAGTCAATTATTCTAGGCTTGTTTTCTTCCAACGTTACTGCTGGTGGCGTCAATACAGCTGGTTACGCGGCGGGGGGAGGGTGTACTCATTAGTCGTGCATGCCGTAGTCGTTAGACCATTGACCTCGTATCCCTACAAAGCCGGGACGGAGCACGCCGGGTTCTCACCGGACCAGGCTCTCACATCACCAAGCGCGAAGCGCCGTGAGATATTCGGCGAGTCGCATGAAGGGTGCGCTGCATCCTGCTAAGGGTGTTCGGCATCTTGTGCTTACTTCCTTGCGTACGGATGACAGCTGCGTATGAATTAATTTATTTTCTGGTGCTTTCACCTCCAGAGACAGTTGAAAGCACTGTGCAACTGCCTCGAGGATGCGTGACCATTTTAACACAACGTGGTGCGATCATCCCCCTTGCGCGGAGTGAGGGTTGTCCACCCCGCACAACATGATCTACTCGACCACCATCATGGTTACCGCCAAAAAAATAACAGAGGTGAAAAAACAACACGGGAACCTGGTTGCCGAGTTCACGAAGTGAATTGGCTTGTTTTACAACGTCTTTGCCAAGCGACGAAAACCCAACCCCGTTACGCGGCGGGAGCGTGTTTTGGTGATTATGCCGGGCTCGAATGATTGCCTTTGCCGAGGCTCTCCACACCTCTCACCGCTGCTGTACCCGTTGGCTGGATTACCTTCGGCTAATTTAATGCGTTTGGGGATCGGTTCGTGTCCGACAAAAAGGTGTTCGCTTGCTACGAGATGTGGGACAAGCTGGAAACGCGAAGCTGTATTGCCTTGCCGGTGGTGGTATACACCGTCTACAAGTCGCTCGGGGACGTCTGGAACAAGGTGGGGTGTTAAAAGCAATGATAGGGACGAGAGGGTTCGTCTATAGTCGGTGGTGGCTCTCCTTGCCTCACAATACGGCATTCCCTTTGCGTATCACCGTCACATCTCCATATCCCCCCCTCCCCCCCCCTCCACCCACCCGCTATTGTGGGGCCTGGGGATCGAGCGGAAAAGGCGGGAAGTGATACCGACAAGATAAGACAGGATAGAGAAACCGTTGTTGAGCAACTTTTGACAAAGTACGAAGGAATGATTGGCCGTCGGTCTTGGGCCTGTGAGAACAATGTTCCGTCCTGTCGAGGACGCGTGGCAAATGGTCGTAACAGCTAAGGCACGCAAACATGAGGACGCCCCCCCCGTCTCCGTCTCGGGGCGCTGTTACTTTTTTCACTGTAGGTAGTGGCGTGCGCTTGACCTATCTTCGCACCTCCCCCCCGGTGTAACTGGCCGCAGGTGTTCTTCGAGAGACGCCGCCTCAAGATAGGCACAGTGGTCATCTCTCTGTACTACTTGACTCTCCTTGCCGGTAAGATGCGTCAAGAGCCTACGGCATGAAGTTGACCGCGCCTATCATTTGTTTTGAAACCCCATTTACCAGGTACCCCTAATCCCATTTAGTCTTCCTTAATTTAACCTATGCAGATGTCGTGAGTTTGCAGGCACAAGATTCGCTTCCTGGCCTGTGACAACATGAGAGCACATGTTTTTGCGGGTTGACGGTTGCGGTGTGACCGCACCCCGACCACCGTGTCGGTTTGTTCGTGGGCACCACTCCAGGCACGCGCCTGGTTTGGCCAAATTGTTGCTTTCTCCTCGGCGTCGTGATGCTGTGTGGTTCTCCTCTCCTTGTCTCCACGTGCCTTGAATATGATGGTTCTGATGGTCGTACCTCGGCCGGTGCTTTTTGCTTGGTTATGGGTGTGTTCGCGGACTTTGCCCTCTTCGGTGGTGGCGCAGGCATCAAGGTTTTTTTCGACGTGAGCGATAGAGCGGGGTACCTCTTCGCCCCCACGGCGGCATGGGTAACGATCGCCACGTGCTTGCAGGTACTGTTCTTGCGGCATGGGCATGTGTACTGAGCGCGTTGTTCTCTGGAGCTGGCGATTGCGTTCGCCGTTTGGTATTTGCCGTTCAGGCTGACAGAAATCGCGGTGTTACATAGTAAAGGACCCAATTGTGTGAACAAGGGCATGAAACGAGACACGCATCTGTGGCTTTCCCACGTATGTCTGAGGATTCGCACCCGCATTCCCTCATGTCATGCTAAGGACCATCGCTGACAATGTTGCGCCGGCATGCCCCTGACGCGGTCACGCTCTGTGGAGCAGGCCAGGTTCACGGCTGACCACCCACATACCGTAACTGTGCATGTTCTGGCACCCATCGGTGTTCTGGCACCGGGGTGCGCAAGAATATCGAGAACGGCATGATTTAAATGCATTTGCGCACCGGTATCGGTGTTTACGCACCCGGTGCGATATCAACGATATATAACCTGGTTAGGACGTAAAATGGCGTTACCCTACGGCCACGTGTCGAACTGTTATCTAGCGATCAGCTGAGAGGGTCCGGTGGGCGCCAATGCCATTACTCTCATGTGCGGTACAAATGATTCATGTTTTGTCTACGGCGATCCGTACGTTGAATGCACTCAGTCACTCAATCAAGCACAGAACACGTTCCCCACCCCCAACCAACCGAGTAAGAAGGAGTTCGTACACGCTACTACAAATGTACCGGTAACATGCCCCTTGGGGCAGACAAAGACAGATGGAAACACTGGCCAACAAATGAGGGGCTTGCCACCATCAAAGAGGTTGGAAGAAAACGATACCGTACCGTATACCTTTCCCAGCAGGGAGCCACAGCGCCACAGCGTCTCCTACCCCAAACTAGCATCAGCCGCTTCATTTTGAGTACCGTAACATGCACAATTACGGTACTCGTACCAGAAACGCCTGTGTTCGTTTCTTGAGTATCGCATCTATCGGTGTCATCGCACCGTAAAATGGCGATTGTGATTGCGTCCGCATCGTACCCATCGGTTTCATCGTACCGGGGGTGCGTTGGAACTCTAGAACGATATCAATTCATTGCATTTCCGCACCGGTATCGGTGTTATGGCACCCATCGGTGTTACGGCACCGGGGTGCGATAACAAACCAAGATAGGAATGATTTTAAGAAACGATCGCACCCCGGTGCCACAACACGCACAATTGCGGTAATCCACCCCATTTTTCTTTTTGTTGACGAACCACTGCTAGTCTGCGATCGGTTCTTTACCATTGCACCAAACGCTCTTTTCGCGCCTGTGGCGAGAAGCTAGGGCGTGTTTTCCTTTTTTTGCACGATTGTACTCCCCACTCTCCGTACCGGTCGGTGTTTGTGATATTCCGACCAGCGTATCGCTCCCTCCTCCGAACGCACACACTTGCCCCGTCCCCCGAAACCCGTCACACACGCTCCTTGGCAGTGGAGCACCTGGCTGCTCAACCGCGATACTAAGAAATAAGCAAGATTGCAGCGGCGGGCGCTGCGGGGCAAGGCAGGAGCAGCGGCAGGAGCAGCGGCAGGAGCAGTAGCAGGACGGAGAAGCGGGGTTGCAGCATTTCATCGACAACAAACTCGTAGGGCCGGTCTCCCCTCTCTTGGTTCGGGATTCACGCTGGGTTTTCTGCGCCGTCCTGTGTGTGACGGCAGGAGAGTGGAAGGGTGTAAGCAAAAGGGCCCGGGGGGATGGGCGAATGGCGCGAAGGGGAATTCAATGTCTCCACCACATTGATGGTCGTGCTAAACACGCCCTAGGACTGCCTGCAGTGGCAGCTGCAGGCGCTTGTTGGTAAGGGGCAAGGGTGGAGAGCTTGTTGGTAAGGGGCAAGGGTGGAGAGCTTGTTGGTAAGGGGCAAGGATGGAGAGCTTGTTGGTAGCTGACACCACCTGCGTCGGAGGGGGGCGCCTCCGCCGTTTTGTTGCGCTTAAGGGAAGCTTGAAGAGCTCTGCAAAATACGCTTGGGCTTTCGGGTGAGCGGCAGATTGACCTCCTTATGTCGACACTGCAGCGCAGGGCTGTTTTTTTTTTGGTTGTTTTGCATATGTGTTGCGTGATCACCCTGTTGATGCGGACAGCTTCGGGCGAAATAATTGTGGGCCACTCAGTCAAGCACAGGAGCCTCGCGGTATTGCTTTGTTGGGTAGTAATATACATATATATATTTGGGTTTTGCGCCGTGTAGTCCACACGGGTATTTTTGGGACTCGGTTCTCCGGGGAGCTGGAAGTTGGATACGGGTGTGCTATTTTGCGGAGCGGCTGTGGCAGCTATTTAGTTGACGATTGTTACAATAGAAAAATTGTTTAGAGTTGTAGATGCGACCGTTTTCTTGCATCCTCCATGTTGAAGTTCCATGTATAAATTTCTTTAACGCACCGAGGCTGGCATGTAGACGGATTTTCGGAAGGAGCCTAGAAGAGGGAGGGGGTTCAGTGGGTGCAGCTGCTACTACTGCGGTGCGCGGGCGAAAGCAGGCGGTGCTGCTGGCGGACCAACACGTCGTCCCTTCGCCAGTGCGCTGCGAATGGATTATATGCATTGAAGATCACAGCTGTGACGAGTTCATCCGGCTCGGTTGCTCTCGTGTATGTATGCCCTAGTGACTCTTGGGAGGGGAGGGGATTGACACGGGAGGGCGAAGCAGCGATAATTTCCTTGCGTCGGGGAAGGCTTTTCCTGTGGTCACATGGCGTAAGGACGTGGCGGTCGAAATATTTACATTCGCGATGCTTATTTTGTGCACATTATTGACACGGAAAGGGCGTGCTGGCACCGACGTCATGTGGATCTTGGCGGTGAAGTTCCTCACCCTGCACCTCCACCTCCAACGGGAGCGTTCTGGTCGCCCGCCGCCTGTACGACACGCACTTACCGCGTAGACGGGTGTGACACGGCATGCCGCAAGCTCGGGCCCTCTTCCTTGTGGTTGTCCGTTGTCCACCCTCTCGCGCCCTCTCCCTTCCACTTGTAGTTCTGCCTCCGACGTGTTTTCTTCCCGCGTATGTACCTCCTCTCTAGCACAGACCGCCTCCTGTGGACACTATCACGGAGACGCCGACGTGCGAATTCTGTGTTTGCCGTTTTTTTTTTATTCATCTGGCCCCCGCTGGAATGAATGAACGGATCCGGAGGTTACCTGTTTGGTTCGGTCATCAGCAGTGTTGCTGATGCCCACAAACAGGATAAGTATCTTTTTGTACTCTCCCTCTCAGATCAGACTTAAACAGCGGCGGGTTTGGGTGAACTGCGCCAGCGTGCTGCTTGATGCCCGCGCCGCGTTTTCACTCTAAGAAATATCCAAATCTCGAGTGCTTGTCTTTCATCCCGTCCAATCCTGCAGGAATATTTCATATTGTAGGTGTACCTCTCGTCGGCTCGTATACCCTTTTCTTGCGTGCGTGTTCTTTAGATCTTCTGATGGCTCGAGCATTTCTGTGACCACGGACCGAGTCTCTTGTATTTTTTCGGGATTGGCAACTGGCACGAGTTTACTGTGAAGAAAACGAAAACTAACAACAATTCAAAATCCGAGGTTGGCCAATCACAGGAACTGGACTTGGAAGTTTGAAAATTCCAGGAAAATTCGGCACCTTCCGAGTCAGCCCGCGCGTTGTTGACTGTTATTTGCCGCCGACCCCCAGCCGGGAAAGAGCAATCTGCAATCTGGCAACAAGAATGTGGTGAGCTGAGAGGGGATCTACGCTCGCAGGTACGGTGAACGCGCCCGCAGAATATACATAGGTGTGCAGCAGCTGTCCGGTAGTTGCGCAAATGGCGTTTTGATTACGCGGCAGAATGGTGTACATATGTAGCGCGAGTTGTAGCCAGCAGTGTCGTGTGTCAATGACCTAGCCCCTGGCCCTTGGCATGGCATAGAGCACGATGCAGTTCAGAGATGAAAGCACACAGGAGGGCTCTGTGCCCGTGACAGCACACGGCCCCGTTGTCCTGCTGCGGCTTAATCCCGCCGCTTTTGCTGCTGTCCTCCCAATTCTGCTTCATGATGCATGGAATCAATTAGTCCAACCCTCCAAAACGATAATTGTGCTGCCAACCACGACCAAACGCATAACGTTTGTGACAGGCGTTACTGGTGCTAGCCTGGAAGACTCCTGTCTCTGGTGGCCCAAGTTGGAGTGACGCGCGCATCAGATCAGACCAACCCACATGGTATGGTTAGGTCCTACACACTACTGTATTTTTTTCGTGTAGAAAACAGGTTCAGGACAAAAAGAACGGACCAGGAACCGGTGCGGAGGAAGGCGGAGATCGCGGACCCCTGTGTGATTTTCTCTGTTTGCATACATGTATGTGACTAGAAAAGCGCGCATATGCTACCAGCATGGTTGCAAAAAGCTACCCCTCCGCATCGATACGGTAGTCGACCCTCGGTAGCCTGTGAAGCAAGCGAGTACCCTTTGTAGCCTGCGACTCGAAGCGTGTGTTGAGCAGTTTCAGGCATTCCATAAGGTTGCGAGCCCCCCCGTGCGGTCATTTTCGCCATTCAATTTGCATCGCACCCCTGTTCAATGACTCCGGACCGCCGGATCACTCCGGACCGGTGCGGAAATCGAATTTAAAATCATTTGGCTACGATATATTGCGCAAAACCCTGTGCGATTTCTCCGGTATGTGCGGTCCTGAGTAAACCCTGATTGCGATATTGTCAGGAACTGCCGGTGGAAACAATGCAAATTCCAACGTGTTTCAATTTGCCGATTTATGGAAATACCGATGTGTTTTATTTCCTTCGTTCCCCCACGTGTGGTGCGCGACGATGACCTACCTCCCATACAGCAGAGCTAACATGCCAGCACTGGCATGGTTGCAGGGGTGAAAGTTGCCCGGAATCGCTGGCACCCAACTGCCCTAGGTTGCGAGTCATCGCGCCCCTGTGCGGTGACTCCGGACCTTGTGCGGAAATCGAATCAAATCATTCAGCCATTTGCTTTGCATCGCACCCCTGTGCGATGACTCCGGACCGTGCGGTGACTCGTATCCTGACGGAGTGTAGCAGCCAAAACCGAATTTCTGAACCGGTTTTGTGCCGGATACAGCGCGCCTTAGACTATCCTACAGCAGCAACCAATACATTTCACGTTGCAACGAATGGCACCATGGCATACCACAGATATTGGCGGCGGTGGCGGCGGCTGCACTAGGATTTGTCAACGAAGCGAACCCGATGACGATGCGTGCAGCGTTGTGCTCAAGCTACGGCCCCGTCGACGAGGTGCTCTCTGTCGTGGAGGATGCCCCACGCCCAACCTTCGATCCCGCGGGCAAGGCGTCTCGGGGATACGCCCTTGTCCGGGTTCAAGCGACCGCTCTGGCACCCGGTGACGTACGCGTACTGAGCGGCCGAACGGCTGAAATACAGGGCCCGCCGTCTCTCCCATACGTCGCCGGCGGTGCCGACCTCTGTGGGTAAGGGCAAAAAATTCAAGTAATATTTCACCTCTAGTTTGGACAGCCGTTTCGCGTGAATTGAGCGTGATCATCGCATATATGCTCTTTTCTTCCTCCGGATGCTGGGGATTGCATGTCTAAATCCATGTACATTTTTTGAGAATTTTTGGGAGAGGTTAGTTAACACCGAAGGTACGCATATTTTGTTAACCAGCGCATATTGAGGTGGTGGTTTCCCACGTACGGAACGTTGGGGTTCTCACCGCTCGGCCTTCGTCGCGACGCATCGTTATCCCTCATACTGACTGACTGCGTTGCTGGTGGTAGTGTGGTGGAGGCCGTCGCCGACGGGGAGACGTACCTCAAGGTGGGCGACAAGGTGGTGTCCCAGTTCCACCGCAACTGGGGCGGCCTGGCCGAGTACGCGCTCGCCAAGAGCAGTCAGTGCGCGCGGAACCCGCCCGCCGGTTTATCCCCGGCGGAAGTGGCCGCGACCGCTTCCAGCGGCGCCTCGGCGGTCGTAATCTCCCGCCACGTGAAGCGCGGCGACCGGGTTCTGGTAATCGGGGGTTCCGGGGGCGTCGGTACGTTCCTCGTGCAGCTCGCCCGGGCCAAGGGCGCCTCCTACATCGCCGCCGTGTCCACGCAGACCGAGCTGATGGCGGAGCTCGGGGCGGACAAGGCCATCGACTACCGTGAAGAGGACGTCTGGGCCTCCAGCGAGTTCCAGGCGGAGGCTGGGAAGTTCGACGTGGTGTTCGACCTCGTGGAGAAGGGGTGGGACCGGGTGACGTCCAAGGGCGGGAGGGCGAAGCCGATCGTGAAGACCGGGTGGCGAGGCGGACGTTTTGTGACGACGGTGCGCGGGAGGAGTTCGTCCGGCACGACGGGCAGAGTGCAGTTTAGTATACAGTAGAGGTCCGTGATTAGTGCCGGAATGTGCCCACGAAATTCACCGGAAGTATACCGGACATCGGCAGTATCAGAACGGGGATATAGGTTTAGAATAGGAGTTGGCAATGATGCCTAGAGATTTGGCCGGCACTATACCGGGCACCGGCACAATATTCAACCGGCTTTAGACAGGGACCTTCACTGTAGTGGGTCTCGGCTTTCATTCTTCGACATAAGCCTGTTTGCTTTCTCTGAAACACAGCGTATAGCTCACTTATTTCGCAGTTCGTGGGGAAACGCTGCACTCGAGCAGTATATTCCCCTCATGCGGTATGTGTTCATCTCTTCTCCGACGGTCTTTACAGCAGAATTCCCAACACCAGGAACGCCTCCTGCGTATGCTCAGTTTTGAGCATTTGCCATGAGCAGCGGATCCGATGATACAGGGTGCTATGTGGAAACGGTCGGTGCACAGATACATGTGACAAATGTTCAACTTGTACTCCGACCAGCGTGGAACCTCAGAGTGAGCAATCTAAGAGGAAATCTTGCATGTTTCACCGACCTCGTACGAAATGTTCACTTTCGTTTACATCGGTGCGTTTTTCCCAAGGTGCCTCCATGCGGGAAGTGGTTCGATGGTCACTCGATATGGCAGATCATCCGCGTGTTCATGCTCCCCGTCCTCGGCAAGATAATCGGTACGTCGCTGTGGCCGTGGGGACGGCCGCGCTACAAGTTCGCCTTCGGCCTCGGTGTCGACGCAAAGCGCACTCAGTTTGCTGAGCTGTTTGCGCTGATCGAAGCTGGCGACGTGCGCGTCGTGCTGGATGGGAATCGACCCCGCCGGTTCACCACGGAGGAGGTCCGCGCGGCGTTCAAGCTCCAAGAAAGCGGGCATGCGCACGGCAAAGTTGTGGTACAGGTGGCAGAATGAGTCTGCTTGACTTACGACGGGTCCAGTGCAGGCTGCACCATCAAAGGCTGTATCTACAGTTGGTGGTTCTTGTGGAGGATGGTCAAACGACCATCGTTTGTACAGTAGAGGGCCTTCAGGACACACACGTGACGGTGTGCGGGCCTTCTTGTGTGACGTCGGCCTGTGCGACACAATTGCCATTTTCTCGAATGCCATGCTTCCATGAATACGCTTTTGTTGTGAGTGCCCTCGCTCTATCCGGGTGTCCCTGACTCTGCTGGTCTACATGTACACCCTTTTTTTATGTGTTTTTTTTTCAGGAAAGCCTGAACTACTTGAAACGGGATTAGGATTCCAGTCCCCCCCCCTCGCACTCCAGTGAGCGCCGAGCGGACCCTGGTCCAAGAAGGAAATCACGTCGGTACAATAGGTTCGTCGGCATTGTCAGCCTGTTTTTGGCCACGTGTTAGAATTACTTCCTTTGTTGCGGGGATTTCCTCGAACTCCTCACAGGCATCTTCACTTTTGTACGAGAGCACACATTGAGGGAGAGAGAGCGAGAGAGGTTTGGGTCTTTTGCATCCCAAACTATTTGTACAGCAGTAGAATGACGTACGGTAGTTCTTACGAGTATATGTTTGGGCGTACTTGCAGTACCGGCTCTACTGCATGTGTTTGATGCGGTCTTGTGAAGGCGTTGCCAAGCGCTACAACCGCGAGGAAGGCAGCTTGTGGGCGTGTGTGTGAATATGAAAAATTGCTCTTGTGCATCCTCTTAGCGTACCCCTTGCCACAATCGCCAACAACAGGATATTGCTAAACAATTACAGCTGCTTTTCCCCACAACCGAAGCGCCAATGGGTAAAATGTGGTTGCTATCCGGAGTTGGAGCCTGGAACAACTATGACAGAGTTCAGCCGGCATCTCGAGGGGATCGCGCCGTCCGTAGTGCACCATGCAGTCGATGGACCACTGCTCACCGCGTCGGGACATGTACACATGCGTGATGCAGCAGCACTCGTGGCGGTAGTTTAGGACTTCAGTTTGCGAACGACATGAAGGGGCAACGAAAGGGCTGCTGATCCCACCAAGATCGCTTCGGTGCTGTTAGGGGCGCACAGCAAGGATTGTACATCATGTACACACGGGGTGGTCTGTGGTCGCATGCTACACTGTCGTCTGCATTTCCAGTTTCCCTTCCAATACAGCAGACGTGTACGTTCCGCTGATTTTACTTCGATTTCATCACGCGGCAGGTTGCAAACGCTGGGGCATCGTCTCATCTGCGCGCACATGAACAGGGCATGTACGTACTCTCTGCGGAGGTATATAGGACAGTAATGGTATACTGCTGGGCCCCCGCGCTAAACAGGCTCGAAGAGGGAGTTTCATTAATGGAGAGAGGCGGTCTATACCTCACTTCCTCCGGCTCCCTCTCTCGATCTACCTGTTCCCCCCTCTCATTTCACTCTGATTCTCCCCTCCACCCACAACACCACGTCCGAACCTCAGGCTGCCACAGCTCCTCACTCCTACAGGGTCTTTGCTGTAGACAGAGGAGAAAGGCTCCATAGACTCCAACTCACTCCCACATTTCAAGAAGTTGAAGTCATCATGGACTTCACCCAGAGCGCCAAGGCTCAGCGCCCAGAAGGCGCCGCGTCGCCTCGATCTGCATAGACCCCGTCTTCCTACTTCAACGAATCACCTGACTTCATCGCACCCCGTCTTGTTACCACTTCTACCCACCCGGGGGTCCTCTCACTCAAGCACAGGAGAAGCCAGCGCCTATCCCGCCGCCGCGAGCATACCTGCGCGCCTTTTGGTGAAGGTCTGGAATGTCATTGGTGATGATGTACTTTCAAAGGCGGATCTGTCCTAGACGATAAACGTTGCTGATCCCCTTGCTTTCCTGTGGTGCCTGATGTTGCTGCACCGGTTGTGCTCTGGAGAGGTTTAACGCCGCGAATTTCATTGGCCGCGAGTTCAGTCTTCGTTTCACTCCGAGACTGTCATTTCGTTGGTGTGAGCCGAGGATCGTTCGGCGAGCCCCACGAGTCGTTACACGGCGCAACTAATGTGTCATCAATCAAGTAGACTGCTCGCAAAGCGCACACATGTTGTTGCTGATGATTGCCGCCCCGTAACAACTCTTAGTCGAAACATTCCCCCTCGCACCGTGTGCCTTTGCTGTGATTTCCCGATGCGGCGCAATATTCCAGGTTTCAGTCCAATCTGCGTACCCCCTCAAGCCCTCACGAGAGTTGGAGGTCGGCCATGCGCTTCCGTACTAGATTGTAATCCGTGTAAACGCGACGTGGTGTTCCACAGGCCCCATCCCGAGTTAAAGGGCCGTGTTCGCTATGCGCAACTTCCGGTGTCCATCGTTGACCCAGCGGATCCACAGAAGGATGACGACACACCTCGATCCAATAGCGGCAGTGAAAAACAGGACCTTGTCACTTTTCACATGCTTGCAGGTGGGTTATGTTAGTGTATATGTGTTGAAGATGATGGCGTCACTTGTATGTAGGACAGCCGACACGACCAGGACGCGGCGGGAGAGAGAGGTTGCCGCGACACAGCATGCACTCCCGCAGGTCCGAGCCCCGTGGATCAACCATGAAACCAACCTAGGGGACTATCAATTCCTATCTGCGTAGCCACTTCCTACAGTCCCGTTGGAATATTCTATCCGCTCATGCATACACGAACACCCTCCCTGGTTCCCTTAGGCCTGTCCTCCATCGGCCGTTTTGCTTGTATGACGGAGAATAAGAAGGTGGCATTATATATATATATAGAAATAAAGTTTGTGTATCTAAATCGAAAATAAAACGGCCGATGGAGGACAGGCCTAGGTTCCCTACGCTAGTAACAAACCACAAGTGGGCATACACACGCCGGATATGACCAAAAAACTCAATGAATAAAAATCCGAAAAACCTCAACAAGGGGAAACCCGGCCTCCGGATCAACCCCCCCCACAAATCTCCACCGTTCAACCAAATGCTGTGACGGTTGCTAGGGCAAGATCAAGACATGCATATACCAGTCACGCCAAAATCCACGCTCGAAATCCACCAACAACGTGGTCGGCGTGCTATCACATACTTCCTGCATGAAGTGCCAAGACAATAACTGTTTCCAACAACGACCTATTCCATCTCTTGGTAAGCAATAGCATGAGACTATCCTGATGAGTTGGTCCAAACAACACCATGTGCGGCTACACTCCTGTCTGTACTTCAAACAAGCATCAGACAAACATCGAAATCGCCCCCCCTCTCGCTGGCGTAACACAGCGTACCAGGACATGAGGCGATCATCCAACATCTGTTGAGCGAAATATTAGTTGCATGCATGTTTTCGACAATCCTCCATTCTCGCTGAAGTACAACAATGGCGTCCCGACTTTCCTCATACGTTCCGTCAGCGATTCCAACAACATCCAATATTCCTGCGCATTTCCGAATGCCTACCAGGGAAATATTGAACATGTGGACGCGAACAACAAGGTTTTCGTGTGATTGAGAGCGAAGTTTCTGATTGAGAGCGAGAATGCGCGATGCGCTGTAGCTGGACTACCGCTGAGAGGTGGAGCTTGCTGCGTGACTTGAATTGAAGGCCTAGCCCGTAGCTACAAGCCGATACCCTGGTCATCCTGTGGGCGTCTCTTGTTGTGGAGCTACAGCGGGGAGCAGAATCTACAGCAGAGCTCACCGCCCGTGATCAAATCGCCCTGAAACAGTTTGAGGCAGGAATAGCCAATCTGGGGAAATCTAGCAACTTGTCTAGCTCCTAGCTGCAGCATCCGATCGCGATGACACGCATATGCTCGTGACGCTGCTGATGAGACCTTCAATTTGCGCCGCTTCTTGGAAGAGCCCGCCCCCTACTTCCCAAGAAATGGCAAGAGGCGTCTGGACCCGAAATTTCATTTTTTTTTGGCTCCCGCTCTCAATCAGGCGAAAACCCTGTTGAACGCCTCCGAGAAACTCGGAACAACCTCCCTGGTTCTTCAACCAAAGTGCACTCACGACAACCAACGAGGATTGCCAACTTCGCTACGAATACCATCATACACCGAACACCGTCAGGAAAGAAGTGCCATTTTCTGCACTGTATGTGTGTCGCTCCCCTCTCAGCGCTCGTCCCGGCCTGCAGCCTCGCCGGAAAAACGACCTCCAGTTCTCGCACCACAATGCCTGTTGCCTCCCCCCACGCCCCTTCCGACGTGCCGCGAAGCTCCCCTCACGCCCCTTCCGGCGCTCCACGGGGCTGCATTAGTTCTCTCTCCCCCCCTCACGCCCCGTCCGACGCGCCACGGGGCTAATGATTACTATGATCGATAATTCGGGTGGCTCAGTTGTGTGCGATGGGAGTGTAGAG